AGGGAGGGAGGGAGGGAGGGGAGAAAAAGAGATGCCCTGCTTCCAACTCTAGAGCAACTTCCCTATTCTGCTGTGGCACATGCACACAGAGCCTTCCTCCCCCTCCCCCTCCTCCTCCTCCTTGGAAGGGCAACAGTCAAGTTGCACCCGAGCTCCCGGGAAAGACAGTTGGCCACGCAGCCCAGTGGCTGCGGTTAGTCACTTCTTGGCCACAGCTTTGCAGGTCAGAAGAAAGCAAGACGCTGCTTCAAAATTCCTTCTACATACCTCTCATCAGTTGACATTGGCCCAGCCCAGAAGCGACTGGATCTTGTGTGTGTGTGTGTGTGTGAAATGGAGGAGTGATAGTACTTGCCAAAGCCAAAAACCTGACAAGCCCCACAGTCCTGAAGCCCTTAATTTCGCTCAGGCTTTTGGCCCATCGATCCCGCGACAGTGATATCTGGAGGTGGCTCTTAGTCTTCAAACCGCTGAGGGAGATTTGCTTGTCGATGAGGGAAGGAGGGAGCAGGGAAGACACCCAGAGAGGTCACTGGCTGGGCTACTATATTTGGAAAAGAATTTTAAAAGGCCTTCCAGGAAAGCTGAAGAGAAAAGAAGGGAAAAGACAAAAAAAGAAAAAGAAAAAAAAAGCTGAGGCATGTGCCCAAGTGTGTAAAAGGGTGTAAAACAGCACTCAATTCCTTCCTTCCTTCCTTCCTTCCTTCCTTCCTTCCTTCCTTCCTTCCTTTTCTCCTCCTCCTCCTCCTCCTCCTCCTCCTCCTCCCCTTCCTCCCTCCCTCCCTTTCCTGTCTCTGTCTTTCTCTCCTTCCCTTCCCTTTTTCTCTGTCTCTTTCTCCCTGTCCTTCTGTCCTTCCGTTCTTCCTCTTATTTATACAATTTTTATACCTGCCCACCTCACAACAGAGACTCTGGCAATGCACAGAGGATTAAAAACAAACAAACATCACCCAAAAATAATTGGGGGGGGGGGTAGATTGGACTGCAGTTCCCATCTCCCATCCACTTGGGGTGGATGGAGCTTATGGTCCAACCAGGCTGGAGAAGACCCAGCAAGCAAAGACAGTTGGCACAGTTTTTCAAACCACCTAACAAAGAATAAGGAGATGCCAAGATTCCCAACCTCCTTACAACCCCAAGACTGCATTATTGCATCATGCTAAGCCATCAATTGTTGAACAAACAAACTGCCTTTGGGTCAGTACACCCAACACAGGAGGCCACAGTAACCCTAGTTTGCAAGCCACACTGATTGGTTTGGTACAACAGGGCTAAACCAAAACCACATGGTTTAGTGCACTGGGTGGATGCAGCTCAAACCTCAGACCAGCAGGTTGCCAGTTATGCAGGACAGGGCATCACACATCCAAGGATCTTTCTCCTTCCATAAAGGGGCTCCTTTTTAACCACAACTCCCATCTTCACAGCTATTAACCACAGCTTCTGGGGCTGATTAGAATGGCCATCCAATGCACCTCACCATCCTGAGGTCACAAAATGCTTAAAGGAAAAGGTGGATGAAGGCCTGAGACTGTTCTGCCACAGTAACATGGCACTCAGAAATGTGTGTGTATGTGTGTAATTGCAAAATGTAAGGGTTGCAGATCTCAGAAATCATCTGGTCCAAGCCCCGCCCAGTGCAGGAATCCATTGCTAGGCCTGATCGTCCAGTCCTCACTGAAACACTTCCAGCAACAGAGTCTCTGTGTCTGCACGCATGTGTCCACATGCACACACTTGATTTTTACGTCCCACTTCTGTCCGTAGAGCACTTAGTAATCTTTCCAAGCTATTCAAGCTCTTTGGATCCATCTAAAGCCTACCATAGAATCAGCTTAATACATCTGGATTCCTGTGTATCCAGGTTTAATTTTTATCTGCTCTAATGAAAGCATTTTTCTCTCTCTTTCTATATACATATCTACGGGCATGTATGTATGAGTTTAGTCAATCATGATTATTTTCCTAGTGCCATCAACAGGATGTTAGGCAGAGAAAGGGGCTTGATTCCTTGCCTGGAAGAATATAATTTGCATCACGAGAGGAAATCTACTTTTGACTGAGGTTCCATGGACAGAACAACAGAACAGAGCAACAGAACAACAGGACAGAACAAAAACAAATTAAAAACAAATGCATGTTTTAATAGGATGACTTCACCTACACTCCCTCTAATTCTTCCAATGCAACCTTTCACAAGACTAGAGAAGTCAGCTCCCTTGGATTCCCAGGTAAAGGTGCATGAAACTGTAGCCTAACCACACTTCTCTGGATTGAACATGATGGGGTTTCCTTCTCTGTAGACCTACATTAGATAACTCAAAGGAATCCTATTATGGAAACGCAGAAACATTCTTGCCTGTTGAGTTTGCGGTTGGATAAGCATCACACGCTTCGTTCAGTGATTCCACACTTAACAGGAGCATTCCCACAACATGTTCAGCTCACCATGGCAGAAAATATATGTAACTCAAGGTTGAATTGTTGGGTTCTGGGGGCTTTCTAAGTTTGGTCTTCAACTTGCAGACATTTCATATGAAGCTAGAAATCACTACCCAATGTTCAGCTCAGCTTTCTGTTTAGTTGGGTTTTATGGTTCAATGCCGTCTATAAACCTGGACCATTCAGTGCAATGCAATGAAAATGAAATACTGCTTATTCAGCCAATGAGCAGCAAAACACAAAAGTAAAATCAAATCAGTTGATGGTTCAGTGCTTTATATAAACTCAACAAATGAGTTCGTTCAGTAACCAGGACGTGCGCAAGTTCTACAAACATAACCAGAACAAAAATAGAGCTATTGTAGAGTTTGGATCCAACTCACTCTCCTTACAGAATCCAGGGGAATATTAAAACAGTGTATGAATGTTTCAACCTTGGAAAATTCATTCCTGATTTTGTCATGACTGTTCCTTCGAGTGAAAATGAGCCACAAATTTGGAATTTCAGCTCAAAGGGAGAAGTGTTTGGACTGTGCCTAACCCACTTAAGCAGATGGGGTTGAGATATTTGCTCATCTTCCTCATCCTCCTTCTCATGGAAATTAATCTCATGGCCACCAAGAACACAGGGGCCAGCCCTCGCTTTATTCAGAGGCTAAACCATCTTGAAACATTTGAAAACATCCATAGACTTTGAACTTCTTCTCCAAGGGAATTTTTTGCTTGAAATAATCCAGCCAAA